ATGTTCATGATAGTGCGTTACTTTTTTGTTGTTATTATTAACTATTTTTAAATCATACGTGACATGCCGTTGTGGCTGGATAAAAGTTTGTGTTTATTTTTCAAACACCTTCGTTTGATAGGTAGGAATGTAGCTATGAACAAGTACGTACTAGTAATATTAGTTATTTTGTTATTAGTTTATTATTAGTACCTATGTATTATGTATTACCAGTTAAATAGTAAAATAAATACATATAATGATAAATTAACTGTGGATTATTTCATTTACGTTGCGTTACGTGGCTTCCGTGTGGGTAGCTCGGTGTTTATTCCAAAATTAACACAGTAGCTCAACACATTGAAGAGGTTGGCGACCACTGACCTATGGGATATACAGACCAATATTATTATTATATATATTTTGTGTTGATTTTTGAACATAATTTTACTATTGAATTTTAGATTGTTTCAATTCTCAAGCCTGCTTTGCCAAAATTTTATAACGATAAAACATGTCTGACTCTCGACTCTTAACGAAAGGTAATTCGAACAGTTTCATTTCAACGTACCTTCAAGATAGTTGTAACCTGCATTCAAACTCGTGTAGGTATTATCTGGACCACCGATGAGAGTCTTTCCCACATACAATCCTTGTATCTTCTCCGAAAATGGTAAAACTGCTACACTTTCTCCGTAATCGAGCGACAATTTGATTTCCGTTCCAATCCACGTCACCTCTATGTGATGCCATTCACCGTCAGACACAAACTTCGTCGTCAAAACCAACGATTCCCCGTTGTAAGTGTAGTGGAGAAGCCCCTTACTCAACGAAATTACAGCGGAACTATTCTGACCGATTTGAACGGACATTAAAAACGTATCTTCTTGCAACGTCCTGACCGAGAGGGCGTTCAGCCAAGGCAGTTGTATAGGTCTCAGGAGGGGATTGAACGAGAGCGTTCCGTCACCGGAAAAATGCCACGGAGTACTGATGGTTTCGCTGCAATCCCTACCGCCGAAACCCTCAGGACAAGTGCATTGATACATCGACCAACCTTCAACGCAACCCCCACCGTTTTTACAGGGCATAGAACTACAAAACGATCTTTTCTCAGGACAGCCCGCAGTCGTGTCGTTGTCAGTTACGAAAGAATTCAAGTCTAGGAATTTGTAGTCGATTTCAAACTGCGATATGCATCCTTCGTAATGGAAATTTTGAATCTGAAACACCGTTGATTCCGAAGGAACGCCTCCGAGCTGTAGAGGGCCGGTTAGATCGAGGAACCGGTGACAAGTTTCGGTCAAAGAAGCACATCGAGGTTCTAACTTGTGCTCAGCGTACCCGGCACAAGCCCACCTCTCACCTAGTTCCCTCCCTCGTTTCAGAGCTATGGCAGTGTCACAATTATCCAAAGATATTGTCGCTGTTTTGTTGAAGTAGTTGACGTTCACTGTGTGCCACTTGCCGTCCGAAACTCCCCCTGGTACTGTAGCAGAGACTTTAGTTACTTCGCTGCCTAGTGAAAACGAAAACTGGATGTGCCCCTTTATTATTTCCAGGGCGATAAAGTCGTGCTGTTCATTGTATCTTCCGTTGTATAGAAGCAGTCCGTTTTGGGCCTGCGTAGCGAATTTCATACTCAAATGTAATCTGTGGCGCTGTTTGAGACTCGGGAAAGTTAGAAACGATGTTTTGGTGAAACTTCGACTCCTCAATTGGCACATTGAAGTGTAGTGCTCGCTTTCCCCAACAATGTTACAGTCCTCACACACAAAATTGGATCTACCCGGCGCGGGACTGCAGGATTTATCTTTATGGCACAAACTGGAACCGCATAAACCGTTTTCTATCTTTAAATCACAGTTTTCGCCGGTGTAGTTAGAGGGGCATACACACGTATAACCTCCTTCTCTAACTTTACAAGTCCCATTATTCTTACATGGCGATGAATAGCATAAGTTGACCTCCGTGTCACACAGGTAGTGTTCTTTGGAGCCGGTGAATCCTCTAGGACACTGGCAAGTGAACGTGGTTACTGGATAAATGGGCCGGAATAGGACAGTATCGCTCGCGATGAACCCAGATGCATTTCCAAACTTCAACACCGTGAGGCATTCTTCATAGTTCAAGCAAGGCTCTCTCACACAAAGATTATCATCGAAAGGTAAAATCTGCACTGTTGACAGCCTAGCAAGGATGCCTCTGTTCAAATAAACTCTCTCTTGTAGAAACTGCGGAGAATAATATTCCTCCTTGGGTACGTCCGGCCTCCGGACGGAAAAACTAACGTTCAAAATTTTAGCTCTCACATCAGTGTCGTCTTGTATGCTGAAAATGAATATGTTTTCCCTAGGACAAGGGATTATAGCTGCTAAGCCGTCTAGAAAGTACCCGAGAAGCGGCGATAAAAACGCTTCCTTAGTCATTTGATTCAGGCGCACAGTGATCGAATTGAACAGCATTTCTTCAGTAATGAGTCTCACAGTGAGCGTCATGATAGCTTTAACTTCGTTAACTCCGTCAGTTGCAGACACTTCCATAGAAGCTACTTTAGGCACATTCGTGTTCAGCTGAGGAGACAACTGCAACTGACCCGAGCTGTCATTCAGCGCGAGAAGATTGGCATTGTTCCCCGATAAAATTCTGTAGTGGAGTTTATCGGATACGTCAGCGTCAAACGCTGGAATCTTTCCAATCGGACCGGTTGGGAAACAGTCCCTGAAGTTATTGAATACGACCTGGAAATCCTTCAAGATAGGAGCATTGTCGTTGACGTCGGTAACAATGACTTCAACATGCGCGTCACTGCGCAGGGGAGGACTAGCTGCTCTGACCACCAAATCGAATCTTTTCTTGGGACTTTCGTAGTCCAACTCCACCATACTGAGAAGTTCAGCTTTCTCAGAACCAGGCCTGGTGATGAGGGAAAAACTTTGGGAATCTTCGCCACCAATAATGGAATACTGAACAATGGCATTAACACCCTCATCCGGATCTTTAGCGTAAATCTCTCCGACAGTAGATCCTATAGGACTGTTTTCAGGAATGTACAGCACTATTTTATCAGAATCGAATGCCGGTGGAGAATCGTTGACGTCTTCAATTTTTATGGTAACGGGAACGGAGCTACTCAGCGTAGGAGAACCGCGATCGATGGCGTAAGCTTCTAGTTCGTAAAACGCGACAGACTCTCTGTCGAGGCCCTTATTCGTTCTGATGACTCCACTCATAGGATCGATTAGAAACGAACCGTCTTCTAGATCTTTCTCGCTCAAGGAATAGTGAATTCTGCCGTTCAATCCGACATCAGCATCGGTGGCGGAAACTTGAACTACTGATGTTCCTACCAAAGCGTCTTCCGGAACACTACCCGAATAGGAAGGTTGTTTGAATACAGGATAGTTATCGTTGACATCCGTAACGGTAATTTCCACATCGGTTGTGTCGGACAAAGGTGGAGAGCCTCCATCTTTGGCAGTGACAGTGAGTAGGTAGCCAGAAACTGTTTCACGATCAAGGAGTTTAGTTGTAACAATTGCTCCGGTTTGCGGATTTACAGAAAATGAAGAATCCTTCCCCATGTCATTCAAGTCATCGCCTAGAGAATAGGTTATTTGGGCATTCAGTCCAACATCGTTATCTGTTGCAGAAACAACAAGCACTGTAGTACCAACAGCGGCGTCCTCGAAAACACTTGAAGAGTACGGGGCGTTTTCAAAAACTGGTGCGAAATTATTCGCATCCGTTATGTTTATATATACAGTGGCTGTATCGAACCTCCCTCCTGAATCCGCAGCTTTCACCGTGAGAATGTAACGCTTCTCTTGCTTGTAATCTAGAGGTTGGGCGATAGTTATCAGGCCATGACCGTTCTGGGATGTAATGGCAAATCTTCCTCTGGTGTTGCCGTTAGATATTTCATAATGGAGTCGACTGTCTTCATCTGGATCTACAGCAGTTACTGTAGCAACCGGGGTACCTATGAACAAATCATTTTCACATTGTACCTACCACTTTTTATATATATGTTTTTGTTGAATGGTATGTTTACTTCCTCAAAATAAACAGTTGTTAAAATGGAATCGTAGAAACATTACACTCATCACTGAATCGTCGAAGCGAATCCTAATGAATTTGATGGATATTGTATTCCAACAAGATGGAGCACCACCACATTACTCCAGACAAGTAAGAAACTATTGTGATACTACTTTTCCCGGTCATTGGATTGGCCGTCGAGGTCCTACAGAATGACCAGCCCGCTTGCCAGATTTGACACCTTTGGACTTTTTGTATGGAGCTACTTGAAGCAAAAGGTGTACGAAACTGACCCTGCTTCAATATTGGATATATGGTAGAGAATGATAAATATTTGTAGATATATTGACGTTACTGCGTTCGAAAATCTTCAGCGTGAAATATCGGACACGCTGTTCATATGTCAAAAAGTTCAAGGCAACCATTTCGAGCATAGTCAATGTCAATGTATTCAGGCAATTATTGAAAGAAATCTAAAGAAATGAACTTTAACCGTTCAAGTCAGTCTCGAATATACCTACACAGTAGGTTGAATGGACTGACGCCTATCAGAAAACAACTACTCCCCTGGCTAATACCACGAAGGGCGTTGGATTATACACCTACTGTGTAGGTATATTCGCAACTGGCTTGAATGTTTAAAGTTCATTTCTTTAGATTTATTTACTGCCAGTCTTCAAGCAGAGCCCACTGACTAATAAGAAATTATTAAAAGTTCTGCCATTTTGTATTAGTTGAAGATATTGACATTATTTCTAGGGTTGTGAAGCATTTGTCAGGAGCTTCAAAAAAGATGTGTCACAAGACCCCCAATTCTATGAGTTCTTCTTCCAGCAGGGTTGATACTGCTGTGTTGACATTTGAAAAAGGATCCAACACCCAGTCCGGTATTTCCAATTTCAAAATGTCCTGGAATCGTTCTCCGAAATCATTGTGGAGGTTCTCCAAATGTTGGCAGTAAACAAGCAAGTCGTCGTTGTTGAAGGATACTGCTGACAAGTTAGGGAAATTTCGAAATTCACGTCTGCCGATATTATTCTTATATAAGAGCAATTCGGCTACAAAAGTAGCAATGACATTTTTTTTTCAATCAAATTCAAGTCGTCACCTTGAAGTTAGAGATTGACATCATTAAATAATGCATACAAGTCTGTCAAGTACGCAATATCATTTTTTGAAGTGATGAGGTTGTCGTGCAATTCTTTGTCTTTCTTTTCCAAGAACTCTATTACAGAGTCAAATAGATTGTAAGAGACAGTTATCTCTTGATAACCAACGCACTTCTGTGTGAAACAGAAATCGGTTGAAATCTTCATCATTAGTAACACAAAGCTGATTGAATAATCTGTCATTTAAAGAGCTGTTTCGGATTTTATTGACTGTTTTGATAATATATTGCAGTGATTGAGAGAGGCGCTCACTCAAATTTTTCGCAACCAAATGTTGCCTTTGAATTACGCAATGTACAGCGAGCACATCTGGAATGTTATTTCTTAAGTACGCTATGAAGCGTTTGTGACGTCCTGTCATAGCCGGAGCGCCATCCGTAGCAGCTGATATAATATTCTTCAGTGGAATTTCTTTCTCACCACAAAATTTTTCCAGTGTATTATCTATGGTTTCTCCTTTTGTACCCGTTTCTAAATTTCTGGCAAATAGTAGTTCTTGATATACTTTCTCAATTTTAATAAACCTCACGTATGACAACAACAATGCTTCATTGGTTGGTAAAGTGGACTCATCTAGCTGAATTGAGAATTTAGAAGTCTTCAGATGATTGCACAATGACTCTTCAATGTTTTCAGCCATCTCATCAATTCGTCTTTGCACGGAACTATTGCTCAAAGGAACTTTTCGGATATCTGCCGCTGGTTTATGGAACACAGTAGTTATTACTTCTTTTATTGCCGGTAAAATTAAATCCTCTCCAATAGTGTGAGGTTTTCCTGTGAGGTTTTCCTGAGTAATTAGCAAGGAGATATTGTAGGAAGCTCGGAGTCCGTCGTTGTCTTGCTTAGAAGCAGCTGAAAAAAGTTGACACAGTTGGCCGAGCTGAGTGTTTCTTTTCCAGTTCTTGAAAAAAAGTCACACTTTTGTCTTTTTTATCTGAATGCTTTTTATTCAAATGATCTTGTAGCCTTGAGGGTTCTATACCTTCTTTCGAAAAATGTTTTTGACAAAGAAGGCACATAGGCGAAGATGGATTTGTGGGATTTTCAATAAATCCATATTTAATACATTCCGCGCTATACTGCCATTTCTTCTTCTTTGCTTCCGACATAATTTTGTCTTCAAAAATGCCGAAGTAAAAAATTGAGTAATTAAAACTTGCTAATGATAGCACTCACAGTATTCACTACCGCACATACAGCACTTTTAAGTAGCTAGTCGCTAACTAAATTCACTAGTCTTCGTAATATCGTCGAATGACATTACTGGCTGGATGGCGCGCGTGCTTTTATATATGACAGCGGGCGGGCCTAGTACTTTCGAGAATGGAGACTAGAAACTTCTCGCTTCGCATTGAAGCTTACCGCCATCTATTTTACATCTATCTATCGGAAATAGTTCCTGTCTAGTCCTTTAGATGGCGTTACACAAGGAAACGCGCGTTAAGCGTATAGGAGAGGTAAGGTTTGTGTTATAAGCAAACAACATTTTTAAATTAACCTTCGCCCCCTTAAACCGCTTCAACGCCCCCCAATCTTATCTGTGCCATTTACTGCCCCCCTTTAGGCCTCCAGAGCCCACAAGGGGCGTTATCACCCACTTTGAGAAATACTATAGAGTGAGGCTTATTGGTAATCATTCTTGTCTTGTTCCATTCCACTCGATGTTCCCGGTCTGATTTTAAAATGTGTTCTGTATCAATTGTATCAATTTGTATCCTGTCAATTGTCTATTTTTTTTATGTAATCTCGATGTTCATTCTCACGCACTTTCAATGGCCTCGAGGTTTCACCGATATAACTCTTACCATAAGAACAAGGTATCTCATAAATAAAATTTTTGTTTTTTCTTCAGTTTTGTTGGGTTTTGTATGTGTTAGTATAGATCTCAATGTATTTTTTGTTTTGAAAGTAGTTCTAATCCACTTATAATTGCATATCTTATTGCTGCATTCACTCCTTCATCAGCATCGGTGGCTCTAAAAAAATATTCAATGTCAATAAATTATTCAAATTATTGTTGTAAATCACGCTCTAAATGAAATAACGCCGGCCGCCACTGGTAGCCATAAACCAATTGTGACGTGGATAAGAGCGCGCTCATTTCGACCGACATTTCGCGGCTGTTCGCAACGTTTTGTTGGAATTACGAGGAATGTTCCAACGTCTTCGATTGCCAAATATAAGCGTCATCCACTCGCCCATCGAGACAGTCAAGTGGAAGTGATAGTGTGGTACGCGGAGCGATCTATAAGACCATAGACATTCGAATAATAGTTGAAGTTTAAAGTATTTGTTGTGATGAGTGATTTTTTGCTGGTATCTTTTTGGCAACACTGTTTTTGACAGGTCACGCGTGAATCGTGTCTTGTGTCATTGTCAAACTTGTTCAGTTTGGTCTACAATTTAACCGTGAATCGACTTACGAATGAACAACGCTTGCAAATTATTGAATTTTGTTATCAAAATTCATGTTCGGTGAAGAAAGTGCATCGTGCACTTCTTTCAATTAATGGGCAGTTTCGTCGGCCTATCGAGGGAGCTATTCGGAAGCTTGTGACTAAATTTCGAACCCAGTTTACATTATTGGACATTAAACCACCAACACGTATACGTAGAGTGAGGACCGAAGACAATATTGCGGCTGTATCCGCCAGTGTTCGTGATGACCGTAAAATGTCGATGCGCCGCCGTTCGCAGCAATTGGGCCTCTGTTACTCCACTACGTGGAAAATTTTGCGAAAGGATTTGTGTGATGATTGACGACTTTTTGTTGCCCAATCTGTTGCCCTGCCTGACATGTGGTTCCAACAAGACGGTGCCACATGCCACACGGCACGCGAAACAATGGCTCAATTAAAAGCAGCCTTCGGTGAACAGTTTATCTCACGTTTGGGACTCGTCAATTGGCCGTCCAGATCGTGTGATTTAACGCCTTTGGATTATTTCTTGTGGGGCCACGTTAAGGCTCATGTCTACAGGGATAAACCAGCAACGACTGGCGCTCTGGAAGTCAATATTGAAGCATTTATACGTGAAATGCCGTTCGATATGTTAGAGAGAGTGTTGGTTTTAGCGGGAGCTGACCGTTTGGAGGGAGTTGGTCGTGTTCCGCTTGATTAGAGGTTTCCATATGTTGCGTATCTCTACACTAGCTTGGCTAAATGCGTTGTTGGACAACATATACGCGGCTTATTTGAATTTTCTCCTAAACCAGTGTTCCTCCTTGTGGATGATTTCAGCTT